CCGGAAGAGGAGGAGCACGCCGGTTGTCGTGCCGCAGACCAGGGCGGTCGGCGCGCAGTCGTCGCCTAGAGAGACACAGGTCGTCGTCACGCGCAGCGCGAGGTCCCGCAGCGCGCAGTGGCTCCACACGGCCACGGGGCAGGTGCATGCTTCGTCGTCCGATGAGCGATCTTGGCCAGTGCCATGCCGGGATTGGTTCAAATACATTTATTTTTCATCCAATCGCAATGGACCTAAGAAAGCGCAAACCATCACGTTGCAACACACTGGAGAAGCACCAGCAAACACAGTCGAGACGCTAACACCGCCAATGCATTCCTCGTATCTCCAAACCGATTACACGAAAACAATCAACCGGTTTGGCGCCGCCAGAGTCGCCGTTCAATGGCTCCAAGGGCGTCGACCACGAAGGCGATGTACTTTCACTGAAGGTCCCCTACGTGGCAGCAAGGGTATATAATATACCCTTGGTGGCAGCATGGCAAGGCGTCTCGTCGCTTCCAAATCGTTGACACACCTCTGCGGCAGTCGTGCATAGTCGACAGAATTGGAATGAGAATTTCGTTTGTGAAGTGCCACGTCATATTGCTGAATCGCATCACCGCTGGAAGTCGACTACCAATCGATCCTCAACCTATCGACGACCTTGTCGACAGTACGAGAGCAACGATGCGAGCCATGCGCTTGGTAGTCGATTGAAAATAGGCTTGGTAGCATTTGCAGTGTTTAATGAATGACATGCAAGTTGCAATGGCGGCGACGATTGGCGTCCACGTTGCCCGCGTCCAAACCAGACACGGCGAAGGTCTGCAGTTGTGCGAGCATCGGTGCCGCAGCTCGACAAGTCGCGAGCTGGCCAAAGACGCTGCAGCCAATGTGCTTGAGCTGCGTGGGCGACGGCGGTCGCGAGGTGCACCAGAAAATGTATGAGACAGCGAACCCACGCACCGTTTGCATGTAGTACTAGTACGTGATAGCCTTCTTGCCCTTGGCTTGCAGCGCTGGAGGCGGCACCTACAAATAGCGATTGGCGTCAGACGATGCGGACGGAAAGCAAAAGTACCTCCTGGAGGTCGTGGCGTGCGGTATCCTGGTTGGAGATCGAGGGCTCAGCCGACGAGGGCCGAGGCGGGTCTGCCGAGCTGCTCGGTGAAGGCAAGCCAACGCTGCTCGGCGGAGACGGACCAGGCGATGTGTGCAACCCCTACATGTTTCATGTAGAAAGAGCCAAGTTGTCAAACCTGCACCAGCCGTGTGCCTTCTTGACGTGTTGCACGCGACATCGCGATCACGGGAAACTATCAAGAGACCGCGTGCCGGCGAAAAGCAATGGGCCACCGTGTCCCATTGCATGTCGACGACACGCGGTCTCTTGATATCTTGGCGTTGGATCTTCACCATTGCGATGTCTTGTTCAAGATATTTCTAAAGGATGGTGAGGAAGTCTGTGAGATCGAGCACTCGAGTACCTCTCATGTAGCGCATTGGGATGGACAAGCGGCTTGGCCACCACGTTCTTGCTTTTCACGCAAAAAGGCCGACGAAGCAGAGGCCGCCTTGGTCGCCCGCTTTGCATTCGCCTCGGCGTTCTGCACCAGTCGACGGAGCAGTTGCGCGTCGGCAGGCATCAGACCGTAAGGCTCGCAGACTCGCTGCATGGTTGGCCGCCGCTTCGGCCTCATCGTCCAGCTCAGCGGCATCGTTCGCCTCTTCGTCGGCGTCGTGCTCGTCGTTGCTGTTGGCTTCATCGTCGTCGGTGGTCGGTGGCACTACCGGTACATGGTAGCAGCCCTGCATCTTGCTCGACCGTTCGTAAATGAAGAAGCTTGGCCGCAAGCCGGCCAATGGAGCCAGCGCTGGAGTAGCCAAGCCAAGCTGAGCACTCTGGCCTTTTTCTCGTGAAGAGATCGAACGCACCTGCCATGGAAAATCACGATCAACGACCGCCAACACGTCGTCAGCTGCTTGGCCGATGACGCGCACCTCATTGCTGGAGACGCACCGCTCTCGTCGACACGTTTTGTTCTTCCACTGGCTTCAAGCCGAACCCAAAACCGAGCTGCTCACGTTTGGCCTCGCTATCTTCCCGGACGCATCATCACGCCGGTCGCCTCTGTAAAGCGCCCAACCTTGCTCCGAAAGCTACTCCAATCCCATCCGCCTTCGGCTGCCATGTCGGATTTATCTTATTGCTTACTACATTACGGTCATTTAATCTAGTCCACGCATCGAGATCGACGCTGCCTCTGCTCACCCATGTCTTTTCTGGGCTCGACAGCGTCATACAGCGAGGAGTACAGCTACGTGACCAAGGTCGGTCAAGCGGTTGTAGCAACCTTTTCTTGCAGTGCGTCCCCCCTCGGCACCATGTGGTCATCCACGTCGAGTTCTTGCACGAGAGAGTCAACGTGCACTTGGAGCTCAGCGATCTGCTGGCGGTAATCGCCCACCCGTGCCTCGCTACTCTGCGGATAGATCGACGAGGCGCCCACGTCAGCCCGC